CTCCATTTCAAATTGTGTGCGAAAAAAGTTCAGATATATTTCAGATATCCTAATAGTAAACTTACTGCATAAACCAGTCGAATCAATCAGCTGAAAGGATAATTACGTTTGCTAAATCAGCGGAATAATAAGCAAAAAAATTCATAACAAATTCTCAAAATTGCTTCCTTTGGCTTCTACACATTCAAGAAGTCGCTTGGCAAATTTTCAACGGTGCTCGCACACCATTACACCGTAATTTTGCCCAAATGCGTGTTTAAGTCGTTTTAGGCGCGCCTAAGTTAGTATATCGAGCAGCCGAGACCTGTTCCTCTAATACAGACCACGCGGAGAAATCCAGTGGGTTGAGATTTGGCTACGTTGACAGCCAAATGACCTTGCCCAAAAACTGGTGTGGAAACTGTGCTTGGCACATGACAATCGACGAGCAGGCCGAATACGCAGCAGCCTAATCCTGATCAAGCATAAATTGATTGGCGCCAAAGTGTTGTGTACTCGAAGGTTCCAATACGCCCCGTAAAACTTGCTGCTGATAGCTGGTAGCGTTTATTTTGACGTTTACATGTATGAAGACCAAAGGCGTCTTACCGGTGGCTACTGCGGCCCGTGGTTTTTGCTACTGCAGACTTCTGCTAAGCTTTGTCGGTAAGGTTACCTCAACTTTGGCGACTGTGGAGTGGTTTCCTGTGAATACCTTCTCATCTTTGAAAACCCTTTCAAAGAGCGAGCACCCGCGATTATAGGAATAACTCGGTAAGCTTTTGAAGGCCGTTCTTCTTTTCATCATCTGTCCAGAAAGTAGACATAAGAGATTTTGTAGCTGTGCAACATCAGTTTAATGGAGTAATAACATCGTCGTACGAGCCAATCGCAAACTGTTGAATGAAACGGAAGAAAAGATAATCGTTTACGGATTCTTGCTTAAGCAGCTGATGACTCTCATGTAGAATTGCTTAAGCTGTTCAATTTGTATGTGGCCAGAAAGATAATTTACGAAAAAAGAAGGTTTGTGTTGGGAGAGTGATTGGCACCACGTTTTTGCCATTGCCTTCAAGTTTGAAATAAAGCCTCATTTTTCAATCGTTGCCAATATTCTATTGTTATTACGCGGATGATTGTTTTGTTATATGGTCTACACAAAAGGATATAGAAAAATGTTCTGATCTTTTGTATGAACAGTCAGATTTTATACCATTTATAAATGAGCAAGGAATTCCTAGGAAGAAGTAGTTTCATTTCTGGAATTTCAGATACTTTTCTCAAGAAAAACTGCATCAATAAATGATATTGAAACATAGCAATAAAAACATACTAGTGCACTATCAGTCTCCTCATATCTTCCATAGAAAAAACACTTGTCCATTACATTTACCCCAAGAGCTACTAGTGTTTGCACAAAAGGAGGAAGGCGAAAGAAACCATTTTATTTGCCATGAAGAGCAGCCACTGACGTCAGGTCAACAGACAGGGATAGACTGTATAAAGAAAAACTGACTTGCCAAACTCCACTGACACGATACCTCTGAAACCGCCGTTCAGCATACACCGCATAAACGCCACTGTGAAAAGAAAAACAAAAAAAAAACAGTGGTCTGGAAAACTATGTAAGAATTATGGAGTTTCCATCAAACAAATTACTTTGCCAATTAGTAGGAACAGCTTGTTTGACCGTCTATGTACAACAGAGAATTACGTAATATTCCCTTAGGATGGAAAGGGAGACTGCATGAGTTCAGGTACAATGCACCATATTTCTTGAAAGACATGTGTTGATTGATACAAAGGCGAAACGGGCAGACCACTTTGTGTCGGAGCATAAAAGAACATCTATATGGAAAATCGAGAAGACGAGGAATTATTAGGTTGGGGCAAACATGAGCGGTTTCAGCGTGTGTTAAAACGACAAATATTTTTCTATTAGCAAATTTTCTGGAATCTCTAATTCGCACGCTATTGAATGTTTTCTGATAGCATGAAAAGATTTACTACTTAAGCGGTTATTCGATTTAATCAATTGAAACATCGAAACATCCTGTTGAATTAATGAAAATCGTGTCATTTTATTCGAGGTGGTCCACGTGTGGTGACTAGTGTCATTGAGAATGGAGAAGTTCAAGTAAACCTTAGGTGGTACAAGGCTCTTTGCCAATGGGATCTCATGATTATCTTCTAAATTCGAAACAAACAATTTTTTTCGCCCTAATTATGTGGAAAAGGAATAACCTCTCAGGAAAGTTAGTAGCAGTTCTGCCGCGCAATAACCTCTTGCAGCATTGCAAAGGGTGTGCTCTACTCTAATTCATCATTTGAAAGATGCATCCGTTGTTGAATATGATTTCCCTAATATCAGCAGCAGTGGACTTTTTCTATAGACAAAAATATAGTAGCTCAAACATTTTAGCTAGTTTATTATTTTCATGCAGCATTCCAGCACTTCGCTGTCTGATGTGGTAAAATCATTTTCTTGAAACTTTAGACAAGGTGCAGATGTGCTCTATATGAAAAATAAGCAAAAGCTGACTACAAGTGCCATTGAGGAAGAAACTTTCCACCAAGCATACAATTTCCACTTGATAAATAGTAATGAAAACAGTCACAAGACTGGCAAAGCTGTAATTACTTCTGGTCAATAGATTTGGTATCTATTGATCTACCTCAAGAACTTGTGAGAAGACTAAGACCATGACACACAGATGCTTCAAACATACCGATATCTCCACTATAGCAGAGTGACATCGTTTGCACATCCAGTAGAATCCCTGATTAAATCCTTGTAGAATACACGATTGTGAGAAGAATTCTGGTTGATCATTTCAGTCTAAATTTACACATATGAGATTCACCATAAACTGTATTTCTATAGCATTAACAACCAACATAGTCATTACTTTCTAAAGGGACATTTCTTACATCCATATTCTTTTACGAAAACACCATTATCTCTTCGCGAACCTTAAAATGGAAGGTTAAACAGTGACAGCAATTTTCATTCTCATAAGTGGGGCTACCTCAACATAAACAGCTTGTCCACTTGAAGTGTCAAATCGCGGAATACGCATCTATTCTTTCTCTGAGTTTTCTGTGCAATCATTCTCAGATTTTTCCAATGTTCCATTAATGGGAAAACCTAAACAAGTCTTCGCAAATCACTTCACTTTCTCTAAGGAGACGTTTGCAAGAAAAAAATCACTGTCTCCAAATTTTCTTGCTGTTACTTATTTCTATTACTGCTACGTTCACCATCTATAACATGATGAGAGGGAACATTTAACGGGAAAAAGGTTATGCCTGATAATAGACTATTCCTCTTCAAATTTTGTCCCTTAGAATAGCAGTTGCAAAAGAGGAGACAAAAAAGACATGTCGATGAAGTGAGTGATTGGACTACAGCCTAGAGGAAAGGATCTGTTCCACGTAGCCTGATGTAAGAAGGAGTGAATCATCCACGAATATCTCCAATTGAAATCAATTCCTTTCAGAACAACTGAAACGTTTAACTGGTATGAGTAACGACGTAAGGGAACTTGATGGTCTCTCAGTTCTAAGCCATGCCAGAGCAATATTGGCTTTATTTACTCACTCTTACAACCCCTGAAAGTTTCCTGGAATCGCCCAAGTCGTAAGCAGTCATTATCTGTTCGTCAAACTCAAGTAATTCTGCAAAAAGACAATAATAGAGGCTCTTAGCGACACAGTGCAAGAGAATTGGCAAGTTTGAATAGCTGGAAAACGCAGTCGACTCTTTTTGAGCCTTCAGCATTGGGCAGTGACAGACATCCCGCGGAGCCTTAAAGAGTAGTCAGTTTGTGTAAACAGGTAATGGAGTAACATCTGCAACCTCATCACGACCCTTAAGGAAGTCATTTCTAGTTTCTTAAACAAAATGTGAAAAGAAGGGGTTTTTTGACTACTCGAAAAACAACACGCCAATCTTACACATATCGTTGATTAGAGACAGCTTATTATGCTTCCTGGAATCAGTGCCAACTGATCAATGAAAAATGTTCACTATTCGTTTGTTAGGCAAGAAAGGAGGCCATCACCACATCATTAGCTATCGCTCAATCTCTGCCTTTCATGCTGGAAATGGTCATTTGCTTTCCATTCTACAGGACTGGTAAAAAATCGGACAAGGAGCAGCAATGTATATGAGTTAGGTTTCAAAAGAGACTAATTACGGTCTTCTTTGAGTGTCCGCAGAAAACTGAATATTCGACCCCTTCGTTGGGCAACATTTATTTATAAGAATGTTAACAATCACTGGATAGCTAAAATCTCTAGCGAGAGCGATGCGTGGCCGTTTTCAAAAAGTCTTTATCATAACGCTTCGACGAAGGCAGAAATTTTTGTTTCACAGAAGCGCTTTTCTAGTAACATAGAGCTCTTTCTTCAAACTATCAGTAAACATTCAATAGCCTACGAATTAGAGATTCCAGAGATTTGCTAATGTTTCAGAAGAACCTTTTCTCTACAGTGCAGCACGGAAAATGGGATCAAATTCACATACGCAAGCATGGGTATTTTGGTTGATCAATGGGGTGAGGGGAGTGGTGCAGGGCGGACGAGACCACTTCAGCATAGCGGTCGATCGAGTGACCCTTCCACGAGCTCCATGGAATTGCGGCTTTTGTCTTTCGTCTAAGAATTTGTTTTCCCTCTTTGTAAGAAACTTTAGACTTAACGACAGATTCTAATACTGGAAGATTTTCGCTACCCGTTCATGTGCTTTTCGTGCATCTGACGAAGTAGCAGTTGAATCACGCAGCCGATGTGAAATCCAATTTTGTCTCTAATTAACAAAGTTATGAAAGGGTGTCTTGTGAAATCGGCTATTGCTTTAGATAAAGATTCGAGCTCTCGAATAATTAAGAATAATCGGTAAGAATTCTTTTTGATTGACCGCTACTGGCGGTGGTATGATGTTACAGCAGACCCAATAATGTGGAGTGCTGTGCAAAAAGAGTTGCGTCAGCAAAAATTTGAACCGGCTGACGAAAGCAGCGTCGGTGGTGCAACGGTTAGCATGCGCTTCCTGAAGGGGTGAGATCTGGGTTCGAATCCCGACTGACGGAAATTTTTGTGCACAGCACTCTACTTTATTGATTAAGAATACTTCTATGAAATGTTTTTGTCCAGCAAATAGGACTAATATTCGTTTGTTCCTGATAACAGAAGTAAACCTAGTACGATACATTACATCTACGAATCGTATCTCGTTGAAGCGCCACGAAATGAAGGTGACATTTCATTCTCAAAGTTTGAGTATATGACATTTCTTTTGAACGATCACCTAATGCTTCATAGGAGTATACGCTGAGCACACCTGTACGTGGTTTTTGCTGAAAACTCTATGAATACCATGAAGGTCATGTTGCTTTCCAACAGCTTGCTGTTCACTTCATCTTGCACTCAAGAAGCGATTGTCTGCTTATGTTTAGTTCTGTATTGAAAGTTTCGTATAATTCTGAGCAGACTCGTGCTTCATTTATTCATTTCTCAAGTCTGGTAGACGTCAAAGCATACTCTGCCAATGCGTCAAAATTCTTCGCTAGATCTCCTAAGGGAAACAGATTCACAAAAAGTTCGTATTCTTAATGAGGAAAAGAAGAAGCCAGGCGACTTTTACTGTATAACCAAGAAAATTTGCTCGATAAAAATTTGTCTCAGCATGACAATGAGGATATAACACCTCTTGAGCCCAAAACTTAGCTCTCACAGCAAGTGGATCACTTCTGTTGTCATAAGGCAATGTAACAAATGGAGGAACTTTGGCAGCCCTCTCATGGATGATCATAAATGAGAATAGTCCAGTTTTGACGGCTCATTCCACGGACAATGTGAGCAACAGACCATCATTTGCCCACAGAAGCACAAGCAGAGTATGGATTCAATGGAAGAAATATGAGGTTTCTTATCCACCGTTCAACTCAATTTCGCCTTTCTCAACTAACCTCCAATCCCTCTCCACTCTATTCCCATCTATAAGAGCGATCTGACTACAGCTACTGCGGAGAGTTTTGCAGAATAATATGAGTGATGTTGAACATTATTTTAGAAAAATTCGTAGGAAATCGTGAGATTATGTACTGAGAATAGCTTCCGAATATGCAATGAGTAATCGCGTAAATCACATCAGAAGCTAAGAATCTTGTTGAGCCGCAGTGCATCTTAGATGCTGCTTGTGAAACCTTTTTACGTCATATGCAATTTCAATAGAAAAGACATAGATGAATAAATTCGTCTCAGTAGGTCATTTTTCCATGCAGAATTTAATTTTCACTGTATTACGTTTTATGTTGCATTCGCCGTAGAGGAAACTTTACGTGCCACATTAGGCTTAAGCTACGGCCACTGGAAACCAATCTGAATGCGGCGACATATAAATAGACACATTCTAATCTCAGCACTTTTCTAGAATTTGCCATTGAATCTTTTGTTATCTCAACCAATACTTGCCTCAAACTTGAGCAGCGGCGCATTTGCAGTTCGGCGGTAGCATGCATTGCCGTCAAGCAGGCTAGTAACAGCCGACAAGTTTCTAAATGAAACAAGCGATGCGATATAAATAAGCAGCGATGGAACTTGTAAAGACAGTGAATGGTTTGTTTCAAAGCTGTCCACCAGCGTATAAAAAAGGTCGAGCTGCCTGATATATTACTCCTAACAAAACGAAAAATCATGTGTAGAAGAAGAATGCACCTTACAACCGAGTAAATAGCTCACAAACGTTCGTCCTCAAAGTGTGAGTCTCCGTGGTCGTACTAAGCCAAATTTTCTTGCTTGGGGAACCGCTCAAAAAAAAATCAAGCAACAGTATTGTCGAAAGTGGAAAATTTTGAAATGAAGTATGCCTTCATTGTATAAGAAAACTGCATATTTGCTAAGTCGCTGCAAAAGAAGATCAAAAATTCAAGGCGAGACAAAGGAGATATTGAGGCAAGCTTTTGTAATGTGCCCAAAATAGGTGAAAAAAAATAAAAAAGCAATACTGTTTTTGCGTGCAAATCAAGAATATTGAAAACTTTAGCAGCTAATATTTACACTAAAAGAAGGATTGATGTACGTGATTCAATACACATAAATTGACTTCACTCTTAGCTGTGATTGGCTGTATTTGAACCTTTTGATAAATTGCGCACTAGTCATTTCTCTAATCATGCAACTCTCTCTAATCAAAGGGTTTGAAAAGGTAATCACGTGAATTTATAAAGTGACGTTACTAAAACAACATAATGAGGCATAACTGAGCTACATATGGTAACACCAAAACTTCATTCGCCACCACCGTCTTCCTCTTCCACTCCTATACCGAGTGCGTGCTTTACAGGGTGACAAGAATTCCGATGTTGGTACACTTGCTTCGTGGCGTAATGGTAGAGGACAACTTTATTAACGAATTGAATGATAACTTAATGGGCTGAAAACAATCAATGGTCAACTTTTCTATGCCGCATCGTTTCTTGGGTAACGAGCCATATTCAAACCGCATATAGAGTGTATGAAAGCGCATGTGGCTCAGTGATTAGAGAAGCTCTGCGTCACACGTGAAGTCAATCGTTCAGTTTTCGCTCTCGTGGCTCATCAAGCCATCCATCCTTGCAGGGTCGGTAAATTAGCACCAGACTGGTCTCAGACTTGTCTGGGAGGATAGGCATCACTGACTCGGTACAGCGTGGGGCCATCGCGGGTCATTGTAAAGGCCTGATATGCATTTAATCACCTTAAATAAAGTTACAAATTGATAACGAATGCATGTCTTATTTCTCAGGGATTGATCAACGCCAAGAGCTCTATCGTTTATCCCTTTATAAGATGTAGAAGAAAAACAATAGCTCCATTACATTGTGCATCCGGATATAAAAAAGTGCAAATGTTTGCAAAATACAAGATACTTTTACAATAAGTCACATATACGTTAAATAGTTAGTCTCCTACCTTTAAGAAAGTAAAGCTTCCTTAGTTGTTGTTATTAACTGACTGCGCATATAACAAGTCATTACGGAGGACCAGGGTGGGACAGCGCACGACTAGAAGTCGTTTTTTTTCTATATGTCTAGCTTGAACAAAGCTCGGTCCCACGAATCAATGTTCAGATGTTACTTTACGTCCACTCAACGTATTTCTGTTACCGGCTTGCATCAAGTATTAGATTGGTGCAAGTGTAGCTGCGGTTTGTAGCGGTGTGGAACAACAATTTCTTCTACTTTACTTTTCGCAAATGACGAACGACCGTAGAATGATTGCTGTTAAGGTATTCTGCAATATCTCGTGTAGTCTTGTGAGGATCAGCTTCGATCCTTGCCCTAATCAATACTTTCTAAAGCGACATTACCTTTCTCGTCTTCAAGGCTTTTGTTTCCTGTATAAACTTCTTGAAGCACCGCCATACTATTTCCTACCTAGTTGTCCCTGAGTCAAAGGCGTTGCTGATGTTGCTAGTCGTCTCTGCCATTTTTTAACGGATTTAATTCGATTAAGAAAGTTTTTCGAATTTTCTATTTGTCTGACATCTTTTCCATAGCCTAAAATAAATATCAAATAAGGAGCAGGTCATTAGTCATTAGCAGCAGAACATATAGGAGATGTGCGCATTAAAATGATGTATAGCATAATCACCTTATATGAGAATACATTCCAATATCAAACGGCGCATAATGCAATAACCGCAGTTCCTTTTTCAACAAGCAATGAATTGCCGTAAACGTTCTGCAAATTTTGAACTCGTTACTAAAACGACAGGGTGTTGAACTCAGTTCGTGTTGTAAGTGGAGTGGTGATCTGAATTAGATCCGCTAGAGAGGTCTGGCTCTGACTGACATGAACGCACTGAACCTAGACGCGCTCGTGATTGATTCGTTCACTTCCCTTGGGTTATGTTGGGCATCACTGCGACATTTTGAGCTTAGTCACAAAATAAATGCTATTTTTGGCTTTTTACAATTAGTCATTATCACTCTCTGAGTCGGCCGTGAGTTACTGAGCTAACACTCATTTGAAAAACAGCCAAATATAAATGACACTATATCAAAAGATCGACTGTTTTTGAAACCCCCAAAAACATTCAATATAATTCCAAAAAAAAAAGAATGATTTAAGCTCAAAAAAGGGGGTTGGTAAGCCCAGGGTCATACACCGGTGTTTCGGAGGTTCGTCCTCCTCATCAGTGACCCCCGCCCCACATTCAGCCCTGCATTGAAGCAAGGAGGGTGGCGTATGTGGTGATGGCACAGTGTACTATGACACTGTACCATCACCACCTCTCAGTCGATAGATTTTTGCTGTTAGATCAAAACTATATCAAAAGATCGACTGTTTTTGAAACCCCCAAAAACATTCAATATAATTCCAAAAAAAAAAGAATGATTTAAGCTCAAAAAAGGGGGTTGGTAAGCTTAAAGGTTTTGAGCTTAAATCATTCTTTTTTTTGGAATTATATTGAATGTTTTTGGGGGTTTCAAAAACAGTCGATCTTTTGATATAGTTTTGATCTAACAGCAAAAATCTATCGACTGAGAGGTGGTGATGGTACAGTGTCATAGTACACTGTGCCATCACCACATACGCCACCCTCCTTGCTTCAATGCAGGGCTGAATGTGGGGCGGGGGTCACTGATGAGGAGGACGAACCTCCGAAACACCGGTGTATGACCCTGGGCTTACCAACCCCCTTTTTTGAGCTTAAATCATTCTTTTTTTGGAATTATATTGAATGTTTTTTGGGGGTTTCAAAAACAGTCGATCTTTTGATATAGTTTTGATCTAACAGCAAAAATCTATCGACTGAGAGGTGGTGATGGTACAGTGTCATAGTACACTGTGCCATCACCACATACGCCACCCTCCTTGCTTCAATGCAGGGCTGAATGTGGGGCGGGGGTCACTGATGAGGAGGACGAACCTCCGAAACACCGGTGTATGACCCTGGGCTTACCAACCCCCTTTTTTGAGCTTAAATCATTCTTTTTTTTTTGGAATAAATGACACTATTTTTGTGCTGTAAAACGACATATTTCCAACTACTCTGCTTGATACGAAGGCTTAGAGACTAAAATCATTCTTCTATTCGCACTCA